ATAACTGATACTAATTGAGAACCATTAGTTTAAACCTATTAAACTACCAGTTTTTGTTCCATCAGTACGAAATTACTGAAGCGATAAGAATTCTGAAAGCAAATCTGAATTCATTATCGTGACACTTTAGTATTTGCCTAGCCAATCTTGAAATTATAATTCCTTCGACAAAAACATTTATCTTGAAAAAATAAATATTTTCAAAAATTTAACCTGTACAAAAGAGTTAAAGTAATCATAATTTCAAAGACGAGGCCTGATTGATACTTAAGTGACATGATGTTGAATTCAGATATATTTCCAGAATTCTTATCGCATCAGTTTGTCTTACTGATGAAATAAAAACAGGTTAAAAAAAAAAACGGTGGGTAACCGCCCAAACAACTTAATATAAATTTTGTTTAATTAATAATTTTAGTGGTTGTCATATATTTTATATTATTAAATCATCTAATTTGAAGTACTAATATTTTTCAATTAAAAAATTTAATTTAGTTTCATAAAGTTTTTAATATTATTATAGAATAAATAATTTAGTTTTTTTAAATTCATATATTGATATGTTATAAATCATATTAATTATTCTACAATTACCAAGGGTATAAAGTAAAACATTGATTTTATCAATAATTAATATAAGATTTTCAAGCTTATACTGTACTAATTATAATATTGCTTATAGTATACAACTATTTATAGTAACCATAGTTATTTCTAATAATAATATTAAGACCGTTTCTATCATCCCCTCCTATTTAGGAGTCCATGATTTATAAGTTATTTTTCATGTAAAATAAGTGCTCTTTAATTTTTAATTGTACAGTAGAGGTATTTAATAAACTAAAAACTAGGCCAATGACATAAGAATGTCCTTTATACAATATTTTTGTAGTGTTATGTTTTTTATTTTATAATAAGTTACATTAGTTTAATTTACTTATACCGTATTTTCAACATATATATATATATATATACAAAAATTTAAAAATACAAAATATAATATTTTAACAAAATAAAAAAATGTTTAATCCCATAGTTTTAGCTTTGATGCAAAGCTAAGAAGGTATTAATTTTACTATGATGTGTGTTTTTTTTTTTTTTGTATCTGTTACCACTTTTCCTCAGTTCTTTACAAACATTTCTTTCAACAATACTTAAAAATATCACAAATTGTATCTAGTCGAAGACATTACCCTCAAAAATTAAAAAAATTTCTACTTTAGCAATTAAAAAGTTACATAGCCCACATTATCTATATAGATAATTAAAATCATTCATTTCTAATGTTTTAAAGTATTTATTGTCGAATTAGGTTTGATATGATAATAGGTTTTAACTATAGAATTAAATAATTTTACTTTATAATTTATTAATTTTTTAACTTTAATTTGTGTGTATAAATATATATATATATTTTAGTTTCACCTGAATTGAAAAAAATTTAATCAAATTTTATAATATGCTCACAATTGAGTAGCTTTTTTAACAACATTTTGATTGTATTTTTAAATTCAAGTTAATAATTAAAATTAATTTTGTTTTGAATATTAAATTGTAGAATCTTTTTAAATACCAAAAATTACTTAGAAAAGATTACTATGATTTATATTTAAGTGATCTATTACAATAATAATGCAAAAAAAAATTTGAGCTTTTCTGATAAATTTACAGTAAATAGTAATTATATAATTTCCTGACTGCGTATTACTCTTAACATTACTATTTTCTTATTGATAAAAAATTTTCTATTTAATAATGTAAATTTCAAATTTGAAGTTAAGCTAAAAGTTATAGTAAAAAATTTAATTTTTTTTATAATTAACTTCCACACTGTGCTACCGTTTTTTTTATTGATTATAGGACAATTTGTAAACTTTTTTTATAATACATATACTTTTATATTTATTATTTAAAATAAAAATAGTTAGTCAATCTTAACTGTCGCATAATTATTTTTAGAATTTTACATTTTATGTTGTATATGAATGTGTTTACTTCAAAAATTTAATAAATGCATTTATAATGCATTAGTTAGAATGGTACAGCATGACTTTCACTCACATATTATGAGACAACTGATTTATTAAAATTAACCTTAAATTAACTTTTTAGATTTTAATTTTGATAGATTTGTTAAGCCAAAAATTGAAAAGTATTCTTTTTTTTATAAATGCTTGTGTTCTGAGCTTCAATTCTGTATATGTTTACATTTTTAAAATTATATTCTCTCGAGTATTTTATACAAAAAATACCTTTTCTTCTTATAAAAACACTTCTATTTTAATAATGTTTGAAATTTATACTACTTATTTAATTTTTATTTAGTACTTAAAACTTTTAACATTTTTACCCTTCACTTAATAAAAGTTTGAAAAATAAATTAGCTAACGGCTTAGGCAGTCATTTAGTAAAATTGTATATAAGTTATTATAATGTAATACTTTAAGGGGAGCAGGCAAAGTGCATATAATTTTATAACCAAGGGTTATAAATATTTAATTCCAATAGACAAATTAAAATTATTTTTATATAATAGGTAAAAGCTTATAATTAAATTAACTTTTGCATATTGCAGCTTCAATCATCAAGAAGAATATTTATATCAATAGCATATTAAAAATTAATATGTATATTAGGGTGTCCCTTATTTTGAAAATTTTGGAAATTCTTCGGGCTCACCCCCCAAATTTGTGTGTATACATATAAAAATTGGCTACAAAAAATTTCAGGCCGATCAGATAAGTTTAACCCGTGCCGACTTGGGGTTGAAAATCGGCCAAAAGGGGTACTTTTTTAGTTTTTAGCAATTAACTCGTAAATTAGCGCTCTCACAAAAAAAAATATTAAAACTAAATTGTAGATCTAATTGTTTTGTATAAATTAAGTCCTTACAGTTTTTTTTTTAAATCCATTAATTTTCTAGAAAAATGTCAAAATACATAATATTTTGTAAAATTGCCGAAATTAGCATATTTACGAATATTTCATCATATATGACGAACCATATGTGATACGACCTAATATTTCATACAAAAATTGTTTAAAATTAAATTTTACGAAATAAAAGTAATAAGTACAAATTTCATTGAATCGATCGTTTTATTGCTATAGCTGAAATAACTCTATCATATTACGATTTTTACTAAATATATGAATTTTAATGCTTAATTTAAATATATTTCATTTATATTATAAATTGATGTAGTTGTTTGACTTAAACGCATAATTATACTTACTTCTCAATATTCATGTATAAATAAAAAAAAAAATTATTACATAAAATACAAAATGTTAAATTCAAAATAATTCACAAATTATAACAAGAATATACATTAAAAACTATGTTTTAATGTTTCTTTGTTGCAATTAGGATATAATATGCTATGCTCTTGGACATAGTGTAAAAGTAACTCAGCTTTTTCATCGTTTACAGTTAAACTTTCATGAAAATCTTCTATTAGCTTAACCGCTTTCTCTGCAGAGTCATTTACTACTTTAAGTGAACATACAATTTCTTTTTCGTGTAAATAAAAATTATTAGTATTCCAATTACTAGGATCCATGATTTTCATGAAAGTTTAACTGTAAACGATGAAAAAGCTGAGTTACTTTTACACTATGTCCAAAGTTGTGAGTCCAAAATGTGAGCCCGAAGAATTTCCAAAATTTTCAAAATAAGGGACACCCTAATGTATATATAATTTTAATAATTAAACATAAATCCAAAAATATTCATATGATAGACTTTGAAGGGATTATAAAATATGTTAGTTATGACAATATTTCATAGAGTTTATTTGAAGAACAATTATCCATGTTGACTACCCATTGGGGTAGTCAACTCCCAGTCACCCCCATATATGAATAACTGAGTTCAAAAAGGAGGGGATATGTCACAAAAAGTAAATTTTACAGCAAAAATGAAATGAAATGGGCATAACATTTTTAGTTTTGATACTAAGATGGTATTATATAATATACCATAATATAATATGATATGATATATTTTTTTTTTCGTTTTACACTTTTTCTTAGCTATCACGGGATCAATTTTTTTCAACAATACGTCAAAAGTTCACAAATTGTATCTAGTTGAAGACATAATAGTTAATAATTGAAAAAAAATTTCTTTCGTTCACCATAAATAAAAAAAATCCCAACATAAGTTAATAATTTTTGAAATCATTAAATTTTGACATTTTTAAAACTTTTTTGATGATGTGATATGTGACACTTGTGGTAGCCAACCAACAATTATACATATATTCACTGAATGAAGAAAATACTCAGACATACAGCACCAAATATGAATGAAAGATCACTAGTCATAGACATTAGATCCTAATCCCGATGAAATAAATAAAGTATTAAAAAGTGTTAAAAATACACTCTTTGATCTTATATAAGAAACTTCATTCATCTATAACCTTATTTGTTAATATTTACTATTTTGTTTGTATTGTATATTTTAAATTTATATTTAATATTTTTAATAAATACTTATTGTAAATATGTTCTGTGGGTATAAACAAAACAAAAAAAAAACGAATAAGCACACACTAAAATATAATAAGGTATTTCTGTTATAAATTGTTTTAATTTATATAACTTAATCACAAATTGGATAATTGATTTAAAAATTATTTGAATTGCTAAAATCAGTGCCAAGCCCAAAATTCAATGGATGGATTATTAGCAAAAAAATGTTGTTAACCTTTTTTATGTGTTCTATTTACCTCAAAAGTAAATTTATCACAGCCAATATGGGATTAAGCACTCCTCTTGTACATCAATACCCAAAATATTATGTTTTGATTATTATTTTTCTAAAATTAACAACTATCAATGTATATGGCAATGATTCTTAAATAAAAATCCAAATATAATGTAAAGAAAGAAAAATTCTCCAAAAAATAAAAATTAATTGAATTGATCATAGTTAAAATATATATTTTATTTTAATCTAAAAAGTTTGTATTACATATCATTATTTTTTTCAGGTTGGTGCTGCACTTTTGTGTCTTGTTTCAATATCCGATTTAGTATATGCAATTATTCAATATTCTTCTGGATCAGCAACCTATTCTGTTGATTTTTATTCACCACTTGTCAAACTTTTAACAATTGTATGTTTTTGTTGTATAATTAAGAAAAAAATTTTATTGAGAGAAGTTTTTATCTTCTTATAATCTATTAGATAAATGAACAAATATACTTTATAAAGTATTTTTTAGTCTTTCTGAGATGGTTTAAAAAGAATACTTTTAGAAAATGAAAGAGAATGTCATATATGTTTATAATATTTAGTTTTATTAACTGCTTTAAAAGATATTTGAAGTATTAGATCAAAACACATATTTAGTTTTCTTTAAATTTTTTATTCAAAGATCATCACAGAAGGAATAGAAGAAAATTTCCTTTCTAGAAATTTGTTGAATTATAATAAGTGTTTAGGAAATCAAACCTACCTAAATATTTATTATTTCAAATTAATTATAATTTTAGGGATTTGTTATGGTGTTAATCAATGCGAATCGAGCTCGAGGATTACGTTCATCTGGTTTAATATTTTTGTTTTGGTTAATGCTAGCATTTAATGGACTTATTCAATATCGAACTGAGATTCGTTTAGCTTTATCTCAAGTAATTTTTATCATATTACTTCAAACAGTTTAAAATATAAAAACTATATTTTTAATTATTATGTTTTATATTATTTATTCCAGCAATATCACCAAAAATATCAATTTATTAGTTACATGATATATTATCCACTTGTTTTAATTCAATTAATATTAAATTTCTTTGCTGACACTGAACCTAGATTATCAGATTATTCACCTGTAGAGGTAATTAACAGTTTTATAATTAGGAATTATGTAATAGTGTTACTTTATTTTGCTTACAATTTTAAATATTTCGAATTAGAAACCATGTCCAGAAGTAAAAGCATCATATCCATCAAGGATACTCTTTTCATGGTTTGATACAATGGCATGGACTGGGTACAAAAGACCCTTGGAAGCAAAAGATCTTTGGAGTATGAACTATGAAGACAGTTCACGTGAAGTAGTTCCTATATTTGATAAACACTGGGAACGTTCTTTAATTAAAGCAAAGTAAGTTGAAGTAATTATTAAACATTTTATCTGATAGTGTTGTATTAATCATATATGATTTATTAGAGTACAAAATCAGAGCACAAAAGCATCTTATATAAAACATACGTCTGATGGTAGCATAGAGGTTCAGCCAGTGGAGTATTTAAAACTTAAAAGTTCATCACAACACCAGGCTTCAATATTTCCTACCTTGTGTAAATCATTTGGTAGTACATTTTTATTTGGTTCATTTTTAAAAGTTATAGAAGATTGTTTAGTATTCATAAGCCCTCAAGTTCTCAAGTATTTATTTACTTTATATTTGTTTTAAACACTGATAGTATTTATATATAATTGACTTATATTGATCAGGTACTTGATAGCATTTGTTGGATCCAAAGATGAACCTTTATGGAGAGGTTATTTTTATGTTTTCTTGATGATGTTATCGGCTACATTACAAACATTGGTATTAGCTCAATATTTTCACAGAATGTATCTTGTAGGTATGCGTGTACGTACAGCACTTACATCTGCTATTTATCGAAAAGTAAGAATTTTTAAATTAATATAAAATTGCCAAATTACTTATACTATACTATATAATATATTAATTAAAATTTTAAATATTCAATGAGATATGATTTGGTTTTTTTGAAATATTAATTGGTAAAATTGGTTCAGTAGAAACTATAGAAGCATTTCGAGACAAATAATAAAAAATAAAAAAAACAGTAAAATGAATACTTTTACTTTTCTTGGAAGCCAAAAATTAATTTATAAAATATTACTTCTGCAAAAGGATTCCTCATACTTTTTGTCAAAAATTTTATGCTAGCTATCGACTTGACGTAATTACTTCTGCAAAAGCATTTAAAAATATAGTTTAATTGGATTACTAGTACTTTAATAGTTTATTGAGATACAACAGTATGTAGGTACCAAATTCTTTATATGGCATAGAGTTACGCTCAGATAAACCTATGTTTAATAATCATACCTTGAAATTATATTGTCTATTATAAATTATCAAAAGAAAACCATTTATGATGTATATTTTACTTACACTTTTTAGTATTACATTTTACATATAAAGGAAAATTATGAATTTTTTAATAATTTATTGTAAATAAACTTTGTATTTAATACAAAATGATATAAAGGTATTTGAATTATTTTTAAATTTCAATTGAAATCATTTAAAATTACATTTGAGAATTATGTTATTTTCCAAGACTGATAAATAAATATTACTTCTGTTTAAAGAAGTTTCATTGCCATTTTTGTTAATTATCTAGATAAACATTTAAAATTTAATAAGAAATTTGTAAATTTTCTAGGCATTAAGAATATCAAACAAAGCAAGAAAAACATTCACTGTTGGAGAGATAGTTAATTTAATGGCAGTAGATGCTCATAGATTTGTTGATTTAACAACTTATTTGAACATGATTTGGTCTGCACCATTCCAAATTGCTTTAGCAATTTATTTTCTCTGGCAAATACTGGGTCCTAGTGTTCTAGCGGGGCTTTTTGTTATGATTGTTCTAATTCCAATAAATGGCGTTGTTGCTGCAAAAGCTAGGAGTTTACAAATAAAACAAATGAAAAATAAGGATGAAAGAGTTAAATTAATGAATGAAATTTTATCGGGCATTAAAGTAATTTTTTTTTTAATTAGAAAATTTATATGGGAAAAATAAATAATATTTAAAATCTGTTAGGTATTAAAATTATATGCTTGGGAACCAAGTTTTGAACAAAAAATTTTAGATATTCGTGGCAAAGAAATAAGAGTACTCAGAACTGCTGCATACCTTAATGCTGCTACATCTTTCATCTGGGCATGTGCACCATTTTTGGTAAGAATTTTCGAAGATATTTACTTAATTTTATAATTTTTTATTAATTGTTATAAAAATGAAATAACTTAAAAAATATTATCAAATTGAAAATTAACTTGTTAGTTCATCCAATATTAATATAGTTCGATTACTTTGAGTCTTTTTTTTTTTTTTTTACTTGTAAAGTTTTGTGACATTTTTATATATTTATTTTATTTAATAAATAAAGAGCCAGGAGAAAAACAGAAAGTTTTTCAATATTCATTTTATGGTTTGATTCCCTGCCTCATCAGCAGTAGTACTATGTAATGAAATCTATTCTGTGAAAAATAATTCCATTTCTCTAATATTATAGCTTCTATTTTTACTTTAAAACTTTAAAAAAAATTTTAACTTTGTTTTTGCTGTAAAACTAAAATTTTTGGAAATGGACTACTACTTTTTTTTTTTTTTTTTTTCAAATATCTTTTTAACAGTGATATACTTTTTTTTAAAGGTTTCATTAGTAACTTTTGCTGTTTATGTATTGTCAGATGACAGTCACATTTTAGATGCTGAAACTGCTTTTGTTTCTTTGTCTCTATTTAATATCTTAAGATTTCCCTTGTCAATGTTACCAATGTTTGTGTCTAATGTGGTTCAAGTAAATATTTGTTTTTTTTTTTTACTAATGTTTTACTTTAAAATAATAATACATTTGAAAATGTTTTATTTCATAGTCTAGTGTATCAGTTAAAAGAATAAATAAATTTATGAATTGTGAAGAATTAGATTTAGATGCGGTTTCTCATGATGCTGATGAAAGTATGTTGATATTATTTTGTAAATTCTGTAACTTTATGCTATTATAGATAATATAGATTATACTAAAATCAATGTTAACACATAATATTTTAAGTTGACATGATTACTACAAGTCTGAAAAATATAGAAGTCAGGAAAATTATGGACATTTCTGGAATTTTTATTATTACACCTTAAAATTAAAATATTAGTAAATGGTTTATATATTTTTGTTTATATATTTAGGTTAAATATACATATTTGAGTATAAATTTCTATACAAAAAAATATATATATTTGTTTGAGATTTGACCGTCTCACCTCCTAAAATTGTTTAACAAAAAAAAAAGTTCTACAAAATTTGATTATGATTGCTTAACTTTAACACTTGCTATTAGATGTTTGAAAATTTATCTCAAGTTATCTAGTTAAAGACATTGCCCTTAAAAATTGAAAAAATTCCCCTCATTACCATCAAATGGGAAAAATCTTCAAAAAAATATAATTTTTAAAATTCTCTAAATTTAAAAAAAAATTTTTTTTTAACTGCCATAGCTTTTTCAAAAATTAATAAGTCAAAATACTTCTTTTTTATGTAGAAATTTCATGTATTTTCTTTTCATTTTATGTAGGATTTTTTAAAAACCTTACTATTTACTTAACTACGGAGAGGGGGTTCAATCTAGCAAATTTTTCACAAGTCACTATTTGTTAATAACTTTTGAAAATGATCCGAAAATACTGCATTTTTTAAATATATATTATTTAAAGTATATGTTACATACTATAAATTTAAAAAAAATTTGTCCTGATCTTCTATGATTCTATTTTCTATGTGCAAATGGCCATCAATGTTGAACAATTTTATTAAATAATTAAATTTAAATTCATTAAATATTTATTCATATATTACACTTACATATCATAAGACTTGTAATAAGGATATAAATAAGGGAATAAGAGTCCATTTTACTTTTGGAATAATTACCAATTTTTTAAGATTAATCACCATCTACAGACTTGCATTGAAGTTTTCTTATGATAGTGATTTTAATCACTGTCAGATATTATCTATACTTGTCCCAACAATGTCACGTTCACACTATGCTGCAACCCCACTGTGCTACCGTTTTAAATTAGTATTATATTTTTGAATTTTAAAAATATCGGAAATAATATTTTTAATTCAAAATAGCCATTTTTAGAGTAAATTTTAAGAATAAATTTGATAAAAAAATCTTAATAATTAGTAAATATTCAGTAGCATTTTAAAGTTTGTAAATATTTGAATTTTCGTGTGTTTATTTTATGATATTAAACATTAAAATGTGTGTTGAGGAAAGAACTGAAAAAATAGCATTATTTTCGTGCTAATTATTGGGGTTTAGATATTTAACTTTTTTTATAAAGATTATTATCCTTTTAATTATAGACGCTTAATCAAACAATAGTAATTTTAATGAAAATTTTATAATTCTAACCTGTTTTTAATATAGAAATATTACTCACTTCTATTGTTTTCTTAGATAGACCAAATTATAATTCTGTAAAGTAAACATGAAAATATTCATATTTTTTTAAATTTTAAAATGCTGTACAAATTTAACAACAAAATGATTTTACTACCATTTTTTTTGTTTAAAATTTACTTTTAAAAACTGATATCTTAATTTTTTTTTTTTAAATTTCAATTGGTAAATATATAATAAATATTGATGTGGCATTTCCACATAAATAATGTGTGTCTAAGTGCCGTAAGTCAGATATGGATTAATTTTTTTAATTTGATTAAAAATTATGGAAATGTGGTATTTTGAACATTTTTAGTTTGTGGCATTCATAATATATATATATAATTTTAAATGTAATAATTAAGCTTTAAATTGTTAATGTTTTTATAATTATAGTATTTGTTAATTTTTAGGAGATCCTATTGTGGTTGAGAATGGTACATTTACCTGGGGTGAACCAACAGAAGTTCCAACGTTATCTGATATAAATTTAAGAATTTCTGCTGGTCAATTAGTTGCTGTAGTTGGTACAGTTGGATCTGGTAAAAGTTCTTTAGTATCTGCTTTCTTAGGTGAAATGGACAAAGTTACTGGCAGAGTTAATACCAAAGTAAAAATTAGTTAATTTTAAATTTTAAATGAATATGTTTTAACTAGCATTATTATTTGTAGGGAACAATAGCTTATGTACCTCAACAAGCTTGGATCCAAAACACATCTCTCAAAGAAAATATTTTGTTTGGTCAAACTCTTAGTGAGAGAGCCTATAACAAAGTTATTGAAGCTTGTGCGTTAAGGGCCGATTTTCAGATGCTTCCTGCTGGGGATGGTACAGAAATTGGTGAAAAGGTATTAAATTTTGATTAATAAAACTAATTTAAATTAATTAATAAAACTAACTGAAATGTTCAGGGTATCAATTTAAGTGGAGGCCAAAAACAAAGAGTAAGTTTGGCAAGAGCAGTGTATAAAGAAAGTGATATCTACTTTTTGGATGATCCACTCAGTGCTGTTGATTCACATGTTGGTAAACATATATTTGAGCAAGTTATTGGACCTACAGGATTATTACGTAAAAAGGTATTTTATTTATAAATTAATTTATTTTAAAATTAAGTAAATACATTTAATATAAAATTAATTATTTAATATTACAATATATTTTAATTTATTTATTTTCCTCTAAAATTGATTAAAAATTTACCTTTTTTTAGACTCGAGTTTTGGTTACTCATAGTGTTACATATTTGAGAGAAGTTGATCTTATAGTAGTTATGAAAGATGGAAAAATATCAGAATCTGGAACCTATAAAGAGTTGTTAGATAAAAAAGGAGATTTTGCAGATTTCCTAATAACTCATATGCAAGATCAAGTTACTAATGATGGAGCTGAAAATGGTTTGTATAGTATACCCGGTATAGGATATTATTGATTTTATAATTTGTATTAAATGATTTAACTTACCACAAGTCTGGAAAACTTTACAAAATAGAGGGAAATCATGGACTTTTATGATGTAATCTTGAATTTTTAAACATTTTTAAAACCTATTATTCGGAATATTTATGGAGGAAGTTAGGGGTTAAAATCCTCGTTTTTATATTTATTAAATTATATTAAAAACAAAAGGGTTTGTGGTGCCGATATTTAAAAAGTAAAGGTGACATACAGGAGTGTGGAAATTATAGAGGAATAAAGCTTATAAGTCATAGTATGACAATTTGGGAAAAGGTAATAGATAAGAGAATAAGAAATATTCCCAATACCGAGACATCAGTATCTAAAAACCAGTTTGGATTTATGCCTGGTAAGTCAATAATGGAGCCAATATTTTGTGTGAGGCAACTAATAGAATAGTTTAGGGAAAAGAAGAAAAAGCTGTGTGTGGTATTTATAGATTTAGAGAAAGCGTATGATAGAGTACCGAGAGAGGTTTTAAAGTGGTAATTAATGAGAAAAGGAGTTCCAAAAAGGTACATTAATGTAATAGAAGATATGTATGATGGCACTTGTACCTGGGTTAAAAGCGTAGGAGGAGTAACAAGTTTTCAGGTAAGAGTAGGAGTGCACCAAGGTTCTACTTTAAGCCCTTACTTATTCTCTATAGTGATGGATGAAATTATTAGAGAAATACAAGGAGAAGTACCAACTATGATGTATGGTTCAAAGTGCTGGGCAGTTCACAAGAGAATAAAGCAGAGAATGAGTGTAGCAGAGATGAGAGATATAATATAAGAGGGAGTGTTGATATTATGTTAATCGTAGATAAGATGGTGATGAATGAAATTACTAGAGAAATATAGGGAGAGGTGCTGTGATGCATGTTGTTTGCTGACGATATAGTGTTAATAGGAGAAAATGGAGAGGAAATTAATCTAAGGCTAGAGGTGTGAAGATCAGCTCTTGAAGAAAAGGGTTTAAAAATAAGTAGAAGTAAAACAGAGTATATAGAGTACGAGTTTGACAAAGGGGAACATGAGGTAGGTGAAACTGGCCAAGGGCCAGTTCGCCTTCAGGAGGGAGAGGTCCACGGACCACGCAGCCTCCTTCTTCGGGGATTTGGCCCTCAGTGCCAAAACTGAGCAGGGCTTCGGGGTGAGCTTAGACATCTGAAACGTGTTCAACTCCGTGCGATGGTCACACATCCTTGAAGCGCTGGACGCGTTTCGGGTGCCTCCTTACCTCGGACAGATGATCCGGTCGTACTTAAGCGATCAGGTCATTTCCTACGAGAGCGCCGCTATCCCGAGAGTCAGACCCGTTACGGGTGGCGTCCCGCAATAGTCAGTTCTCGGGCCTCTGCTGTGGAACATCGCGTATGACGCGGTGTTTCGCATTCCGCTACCACCGCACATGCGGGTCGTCTACTACGCGGAGGACACACTGGTGGTGGCGGAAGGCGTCTTGTCCGAGGAGGCTGGATCTCTTGCGAACCGCGCGCTCAGCGCAGTTGCCGCCTGGATCCAGCAGGAGAGTAGTGGACTGAGCCTCGCCCTGGACAATACCGAAGTGGTCTTGTTCACGAGCAGGTTCAAGTTCACTCCTCCACGGCTCGCCGTGCTGAGAGTGGAAATCCCACTTAAGGACTCCATGACTTATCTAGGCCTTGTCATAGACAAACGTTTAAAGTTCAGGCCATACATTACTCGTGCAGCCTAGCGGGCCCAGAAAGTTATGAATTGCCTGGCGGAACTCATGCTCAATCTGAGAGGGCCGAGGGAGATGCGGCGCAGACTTTTAGTCAGTTATTATTTCTACAATTTGGAATTGTTCTATCTTAAATAAGACTTAAAATTAAAACTATATTAATAATATTTTAATTTTAAGTAATATTAGGCACAACTGATCAATTTTTATTATATCTTCAATAAGATTTATTTTAATTTTATTACTTTTAATTTAATCTTAATAGATATTGACAAATTATTAGAAGATGCACCTGCAGATTTAAAAGAAAAATATGTACGTCAAAGAAGTGAATCTAATTCCATGCATTCAATGCAAAGGTAATTTGTTTATTACTTTAGAGGCTAGTTATATCTTGCTTACTAACATTTATTTAAATTCAATGTGATGTTCTAACTATGTTTCCTACAGTATTTTAGAAAATAGTGTAAAAATATATAATTATTTTAAACATATATTATTTAAAAAAAATTTAGTATACTTCTGTTTTAATAAAAAAAAAAAAGAACTGTTCATTTATTCAAGTTGAAATTTTTTTTTATATGGATTTTTTAAACCACTGTTTATAAAGGGTGTTTTTTTATAGTAATTAACTGAATTATTAACAGAATAAAAATAATTTAGACACATTTATTTTTTATAATCTTTAGTTACATATAATTTTTTAATTATTAACTAAGTAATACTTTTTAAGTTTATCCCTATTTATAAACTCACAACAATGAGCCTTACTACCATTGATAATAAATATAGTGCATCTGCAAATATATATTATTAAAAAGTTTAGATCATTACAATAATAAAAAATGTAAAAAAGTAATCAAATTATGAATTTTTTTTTACATTATTTTAAACACTCCTAATAACCTGTATATCATTTTTTAGATAGTTTAGCCCAGAAGAGCCTTATGTCCTATAAAGGGTTATTTAATAGTTAATTTTTGATAAAGTGTCTTTTAATTTTAGTTAGAGATGTTAATATTGTCTATATTAGATCTAATTGAAATTAATGAATTGGTTATATATATACATATATTTATCCATTAAAAATATGCCATTTGTAATAAAAGGCTATAGGGTTAGAAATAAATTGATTTTTTAATTTAAGTAATCACAATATTTTGAAGAAAAAAAAACAAGTTTTTTAAGATAATTTATGAGACATTGATAATTATGCATGTTATATTATAAATAAAGATAGCTTCATTCTCCTTATATCAATACTGAGTTTATATAATGTTTTTAATTAAAGACAAATTTCAATTGATTCGGAAAAACCTGAAAAGCCGGTTGCTGTTCCAGAACTAGCTAAATTAATTGAAGTAGAAAAAGCGGAAACTGGAAGTGTAAGTATATACAAAATAATCTTATTATTTTCTAATTAACTGTGAGTGACATCTTATTAAATATAAAAAAAATTTATTTTTATTTTAGGTAAAATGGGAAGTCTATGTACATTATTTGAAGTCAATTGGTCCATTTTTATGTATTAGTACTATTTTCTTAAGTGTTGTTTTTCAAAGCTTTTCAATATCATCAAATTTATGGCTTTCTAAATGGTCGAATGATAATACATCTCATGTTCATGGTAAAGAAAATGAAGATGTAAGGAATTTATATCTTGGTGTTTATGCCTTACTTGGTTTTGGTCAAGGTAAGACGTTAAAATTGTTTGTCAAGTACAAATACTAAAGGGAGAGATATAATTAGTGATATAGTAACATTAATAAGAATATTGAAGTAGAAATGATTTATTTATTGTGTAAAATGAGTTTTACTGTTTTTGATTCATTATCTTAAATTCAATATTTATTATAAATATTCTAAATAATGAATTAGAATATTTTTAAAAATTTTATTTTTTGAATAGAGCTTTACTTTATTAAATTAATTACTGAACTTTTCTAAAATATAATTCAAATTTTATTGTGTTTTGGATAAATAAATAAAAAAAAAATGAGAAAATGAAAAAACATATAAAAATGTTTTATTAGAAGATTTTCATTTTCCTTTATTTTTAACTCATTTGACAAAATATCTGAATAGATTTTACTTAAAAAATATATATTTTGCTATATTTTTAAATAGCAGTTGCAATTTTATAGAAATTTCTAAAACTCTAAAATATTAGATTGTATTAAAGAAAATCAAACATATATTGTGATCGGTTAAAAATTAATATACTTATAAACAGGGCTCGGAACATAAGCATATGCATATATTGAAACTACAATTTGGAACTTAATTGAATGTTTTTAATGGGAAAATATTGTATTTATTTGTGCATAATTTCTTTTGTGTATTAATTTTCTTAAGTGTTTTTTTTACCTATATGAATCTTTATTTATAAAAAAAAAAACTTAAATAAAAATGTTTGATTATTCATCTTAAGGAAAAATTTACTTTATGGCAATTTATATAGATAATGCTTTTTAAATCCTTAAAAGTAGATAAACTAAATTTGTTTTACTTGTCATAATCTTGATATGTATGTGTGTTAGTCAACACTTGATATAGTTTAAAAATAAATTTGAAATTAAATTATTGAAAATTAACTTCTCTAAACTCATCAATTATTCAAAAATATTAGATTAAGTACTAGATATTATTTTCTGAGTTTACTATGATCTAATGCCACTAAAAGTTTCTACATTTTTGAAAATCAAAACATTTATTGCTCTTTAAAAAATGTTTAACTAAATTTTTGTTTGTGTGAAATATAACATTTGTTAAAAGACATTGGAGTCTTAACTAAACCCATTTTCTATGATATTTGAGTAATTAATATGTAGATAGGTTCCCATCAATATGAAGTCCACGAAAGTTGACTAGTATTTTATATTAATTAGTAAGTGCTAAAATTAGTATAAATATTATACCACTTTTGAAAAATACTTCTAAACTTGGGTCTTTTCATTAACAAAAAACATTATCTTAAAATTTTCTTGAAATTGTACAAATTCAAACTTTTAGTTTTATAATTAAAAGATTCAATAGAGAATTCTTAATTTATTGCGTTTTAACCAAGTGTTGCTGCCGTATCATGTATTTATTAATTATGTGTAAACAGTGTGACATTTGTGTGCTTTAATTTAAAATTTTTAACCTTGAAGTAAGTATTAGTAAAAAAAATTACTAAGTCTTTAATATGGACAAATTTTTATTTGTTAGGTAATTACTATTATAAATTATTTATAATAACTCTTTTTTAACACGCTTATATTAGTTTCACTTGTATGTTTGTTTGTTGTTTGTTGTTTGTCGTTTGTCGTTTGTCGTTTGTAAGTTTGTAACTCCACGCGGCACGTGTTATTATGTCGCGTATCCCGTCGTGTATGACCTTGAGACTATACTGTTGTAACGCATTCGCCCCACCCCGCTCATCACTCGTAGAGAACAATATTTTCCAACCCGTAGACGCGCGCTTATCATCAATTATATATATATATATAACAAATTTTTATTGTAATTGACACAGCCCCGCGACGTTTTACGCCGCGGTGCAAAGTCCAGCAAGTGCCGCACGGCCGACGACGTCCCGCCGCTATACCGTAGTCTTCTTCCCATTGTTAAAATAACATCGTCAACAAACTGATCCGCACTCGCGCACCGTCGTCATCTACGCTGCTAACCTATTGACGCCCGAGGATCACGCCGGACATCGCGTCTTCGACGCCAGCAAAAGTGCCGCGATATTATGCGAAGATCATTATATTCCTACCGCTACCGCTAATATTAATATATATATAT